CTGTGATTGGCAGAAGTAAATTGGTTTCATTCAACAGTGGAATGTTAAGAAGCTTTCTCCCACCCCTGAAGATATAAAAGCCACATCTTACAATCAACCTTCTTAGTAATAAAATGGCTATTTTCATCTCCAGCAGTCTGTCTTCTATGTCTTATTTTTCAGTTGATTCTAAATTCTGTAAGAGAAGAAAGAGATGTTATTTAGTGATTCCCTAGGACTCCAGTGAAGCCTTCTTTAGAATGTAAAACTACAACCTCAACCCCAGCAGCAGATCCCAGATCCCCTTTGAATCCTATGTAATTACATTGAGCCAAACACGAAGGTATAATTTTACTAACTGACAGCATAATTCACACTCTACGCACAGGTCATCCATTAGCCAGTACCCAAGGATGATCTTTTTTCTGCTAATATCACACACCAAGGATGTTAAGCTGAAACTAAAAATTAAGTAAAACACCGTGGTGGACCTATAGATCTGCTCCAACCACTCCAGGTGAGGGGAGATATATTCTCTCAAGGGATTAAGCAAAAGAAGCTGTGATAGGCAGGACAGGTGGTTAAGGAATGAGGTGCGGGAGAAACATTAGACTAAGGTAAGATTCTGTGCATTCAACAGTTGGTTCCGTACCAGTTATCTAGTGCTGTGTAACAAACAACCTCAAAATCTCACACCTTAGAAACGCCCACCATTTTATTTGCTTACAATTTGCTCAGCAATTTGGGATGGGCTTTTTGGGCTGGGGGGATAAACTTCCACACTTGCCTGGGCTCAAAAATTTCATTTCTTTTGTAACCTTTCTCAGGAAATCCAAGCAAACTAAAGAGCAAAATAATAAAATAGGAACTTGCAAAAATACGGTATCCAACCTAGCAGAGCGGCAAAGCCCAAGACGACGGACAGCGGCTCCAAAGGCAGACAGAACACGAGTCTATATGAGATCAAGAGGATGAGGGTTTAAAAAACAAAAGAAAAAAAAATGAAAGAAAAGAAAGAAACCAAAAGGTTGTCAGACACTTTGTGGAGCAATTAGAGAAAAAAAGTATTTATAGGTATATGACGGCACTGATGAAAAAAAGAAAATAGTGCTCTGCATCAACATAATAATGTAAATCATATTACTCATAATGATGTAAATATTGACTACTGATTTGGGAAATTGGTGTCTGCGGGGGATGTGTCCGATAAACCTCATTTACCAAAAATCAGGTGAATAGATGCGTAAGGAAAACCCATGACAATCATATGATGATTACAGAACAAAATACCAGAAGAGACCAGCCAAAGAACTGGAAAAGTTGCTTCTGGAAAACCAGACAGGAAGACAGGAGTATGGGGAGGGATGGGGCAAATGACAATGGCAACTTGTAAGTTCTATATAACTATTAGATTTTCAGCCTTGACAAAAATAATGTTCAAAACTTTTTAAAACAATGCCTACCTCTGCATCCTAGGTTGGGACTAGAGAGGGAGCCTCTCCTTAGAGGACAGTTTCCAAAGTGCTAAGTGTTCTTTGCATCTTGTCCCCTGACTGCTTCTTAGGAGCCTCAAGTCCATTTGGAAGTGAGTCACAAGACAAACGTCCAGCTCATCCTGATAATGAATCTGAGGTCAGTTCTGGCCTCTGGGTCTTGGGCTCATGGCTTTTCTGACTTGACATTTCACTGTGGAAATACACATAAAGGAGAAAAATGCACAACAAGCATCGAAACTATATCCGATACAGCTGCCAGGCATATCAAGTCCCCTATAGTTTGAGGCATGACTATATACCAAGCACTTACAGTAAACCAACCCTGGGCTGAGTAGTTACATGTATTACCTAGTTTTCATAATCTTAAGAAGCCATGCATTACTGTCCCATAGTCCAGATAAGGAAGCTGACACTGAAGAAGGTTAACAGTTTTGCTAGTAAATGACATAGCCAGGAGTGGGACCCAGCTCTCCAGGCCATCCCAACCCTGAGTTTATTATCACCCGATAGTGCCATCTCAGCCCTCCGCACCTGCTTCCGTGGTCCTAGAGAGGTGCTACCAATGTATTGTCCTTCTGCACACATTTCTTAATTTAAATCAACTCTTCCCTAACACTCACTGGGGTGGGGTGGTGGGCACGGTCAGCTTCGTGAGCATGCAGTCACAGAGGACCTCACACTGAGAAGGACCTCATCCTTGATGGAAATGCTCTGCCATCAGCGTCCTGGAAATCTGAATCCATTAACTTAGTTCTTTCAGTGAAGTCCAATGGGACAATGGAGTATGTGTGTGAGGAGAATGGGCAATCCGTGCGCCCACAGTCCCTTGCCGCCTGACTCACACAGAGCATTGGCAATGCCCCTGAGTACAGAATTCAAGCAGACCCACAAAGAGCTTAAGTGCAACAAGACTCAAAGCCAGGTACAAGTGTGTTAAGTCTGCAATCGAGTACGCCAGGGTACTGACATCCCCAGGAGGACATGCTTCCCATTCAACCCAGAACTTTCTTTGAGCACAACAAAAGAGATGACTGAGGAACCCTATCTTAGCCCTTTTCACTCGTGGTACCTCTCTGTGAGCCACTCACCTAGGCTGGAAAGATGACATAGAAGGTCAGCCCCTCGTGCCTCTCTTTTCACTGTCCTTACTCATCCGTAAGGTAGGGTATGGGTAGAACGCACGTCAAGAAGAAAAATAAAAAGTTTTTGGCAGCATTTCTGCTGTTCTGGTAGGAACAATACACGTTAGGAGCTACAAAATGAGTTGTGTAATTTCAGCAATTCCACGTGTGAGTTGGAAGCTCTCATGTTTACATTTGAAGTTGGCATTGCGCAATATAAAGGTGAACCCTATGCTAGTAATTTAAACATGCTATTTTATGCTAATAATTTAAATTTAAATCTTACTTAGAATAGCACCACCCAGCAACATTTTAAAAGCCCTAAGTCAAGAGAGAGACCACTGAAGGAGAGCTTTATATTTAGTGCCTATAATGGCACTTTCCCTCTGCTTCCTGAACGAGGGGCCCCGCAAATGACGCAGCTGATCCTGGTGATGGAGAGGTGGGTGGTGATGTTAACTGAGTAAAAGAGATCCCACGTTTTTAGGAAACAGACCCAGGAAGCCCCGATTTCTCTGTAACGGAAAGCAACACACTCCTTTGGGGTTTGTCTTTTTTTATTTCTCCCTTCCCACAACCAGTAAAAAAAATTACAATCAATGTGGGTACAAGGATCCAATTTTTAAAAAGTCAGTGTGCAAAGAGGGCCACAGCCCTGCCCAGGCTTAACTTACATATTTACAGGGTGTGTGGCCCAGGTGCGGCTACAGAGGCACATTGAAAAAGCAGTATTACAAAATATACAAAGGTGCTTTCTTTATATTTCATAGTAGAACCCGGCCTCATTTCCAAATGAGAGCACTACAAAACACAAATCACACTACTACTTACTATATAACTTATGAAAAATGCTGTACAGATGTGCAACTATAAATATGAGTATAAATGGCTCTGTTTGGGAATTGCTATCTACAGGGGTTAAGGGTCAGAGAAGGGCTCAGTTTGGCATCCCAACCTGCCAAGGTGACGCATAAGCCAGGATGGGGGAGAACAAGGTCTTGGAGTGTGGCTGCACTGAACCCCCTCCCCCAAACTCCGCTGAGGCTCCCTCCCTCTCCCGGTGCAGACTGGGATGGTTCAGGGTGAGAAGCGGCAGAGGGAGGAGGTGTAAAGACAGCAAGCTGCTCTAGAAGGCACAGAGAAGGCGATGGGGGCAAGGAGCACCGCCCTTGGACCCCCAGCCACACACGGACCCCTCCTGCTACTTGATGATCACCGTTCTGGGGGCAGTCTGGCCATGCCCCGGTTTCTGCCCTTTGGAAAAGTTTGGCTCTCCGCAGGCATGGAGAGAGGGCAGGAAATCGGAGCTTACCTCTCTATGGGAATGTGAGAGAATGGAAAGAGTTTCTGGCTTGGATGGATGCATGGAAGCTGCCCACCAAACAGCCAACGCAGACATCTATCTTGTACTGAGAGTGAGGGGGCAGATAGAAGCTACAATTGTCCCATGTCTTTCCTGGGGTTCAAGGTGGCGGCACTGGAGAGGACTCATAGAGGGGCTGCATATCTTATTCCAAAAGGCTCAACAAGGATGATTTTATCTGACCAAGAGGGCAGCACTGGGCTTGAGCCACATGGTCAATAGATTAGCCAAGTCAAGAAGAGCCCTAGGCCCTTTTAGCAGATAAACCATCTCCACCCCCAGTGCTCCCCATTCCCCAGCTCTCATCCTCCAACTGCCCAGCTCAGGACCAGGACCACTCACTTCTCAGAACGATGGAGCCAACAGGTGAGCCAAAGTGCTCCCTGAACCTCTCGGTAGCTCAGACGTGGCTCCCGCCCTGCAAACTTGGGCGAGGACACAACAGGGAAGCTTAGATGAGCCACACCTGCCCAGGTGAGGACACCCAACAAGGGACTTGGGGAGCTCTGGCAAGGGGCGAAAGGCCCACCTCTGTGGTCCTCACCAAGTCTCCAAACAATTAGTTTTCCCCGGAAGGGGTCTGATCTGGGGCAAGGACTCCTGCTCTTGGTTGAAGCAAATCTGTGGTAAAAGAGAGGCATGGCTGAGCGTTGTTCTCACCCTCACATCATCACGTGCACACTTAACACGTGCATCTTTGAGAACCTTCCATGAATCCCTCCCTCAGGGCTTCCTTTGGAAGAGGACGGCTGGAGTCTGACACCGGGTCCTGTGGAGCCACCCAGCGGGGGCAGGGGTGGGCAGTGTGATCATCCCTAGCCCTCGGCCCTCCCGGCCTTGCAGGATCGCTGGGCACCTTCCCGCCAGCGGAAGCCGGAGAGCCCCCGCCGAGATGAAGCTCCCGTGCGGGCTGACGCACCGGGCCAAGCGCAATGAAAGTGGGGGGCTGCCGTGAACACCGTTTCTCAGGAGGGAACAGCTCCCCCAGGCAGAGGAAGGAGCGCGGCGCCCGGGGGGATGGGGGCCCCTCCTGCTGCCCCCCTACAAGGCCGTGCTGCTAGAGGCGCTCGGTGCGCCCGGGGCCTCCCACTGAGCCGCAGGGGGCGCGTCCTGGGCCTCGCGGCTCATGGCCGCGTTATCAAAGGCCTCCGGGGCCTTGCTGGGCATCTCGGGCTCGTCGTCCTCGCGCTGGCAGCAGCCTCTGCAGGGACAGCACCTGCGACAGCCGCAGACCAGGCAGCACGTGCGGCAGCAGACCCGGCAGCAGACCCGGCAGCAGAAGCAGCAGCGGTTCTGGCAGCAGCCGCAGCCGGAGACCAGCGAGATCAGGTCGTCCCAGGGCCGCAGCGAGTGCATCCACAGCGGCAGGAAGTTCCAGTTCTGCAGCTTCCCGGGCAGGAGGCGCGGGCAGCGCGACTGCAGGACATTGAGGACCACCACCAGGAGGATCACAAAGAGGATCGGCACCCCCACGCCCACCAGCACCGGCCAGCCGGCCAGCGAGAGGCCGAACACGCCCAGCGGGATCAGGAGGAAGAAGATGATCAGGTAGACGACCGCAAACCAGCGGTACTCGGCAGAGATGGTGCCCAGTCCCTTGGCCAGGCGGATGGGCAGGCGGGTGAACGGGATCGGGTACCACAGCATGATGCCCGAGATATTGAAGAAGAAGTGGCACAGGGCGATCTGCAACGCAAGAGGTGGGACAGGTGAGTGGGTCTGGTGCCTGGGGGAGTCGGGGAGCCGGAAGGGTGGTCTTGCAGGCATCCTGAGCAGTCAGGGGTCTTCCTGGTCTTCAGAGCGCAGTTCAGAAGGGGCCTGCATTACCTGAGGACCTACTGTGTGTGTGTGTGTGTGTGCGCGTATTTTGGGGGAGGGCGAGTGAGGTGACCAGATGAATCACAGCTCAGTCCACCTCAAGTCCTCCAGGCAAAAATCTAACAATGAATTTAATGAAGATGCTCCCCAGGGTTTGACCCTGCTGCTTCCGGCTGAGCAGTTAAGAGCTGGGTGGGGGGGGGGGGGGGGGGGGGGCAAAGGAGTGGCCTGCTGGATAGCTGGCTCCATGTGGATTACGTCAATCCTCTAAACACATCCTCAGAGCTGCTGACCATCATGATCCCCATGTGACAGTGAAGGCAATGGAGCCAACTGAGGAGGAGGTGAGGCTCTCTGCCCAAAGTCACACAGGTAGGAGATGGTAGAGGTGGCGTTCAAACCCCAAGGAGCCTGGCTCCAGAGGCCACGCACTTTGCCCCTTCCCTGTGGGCCCCCTAGGTGCCAGGCATCATGCGAGGGGCTCGGGACCAACCTGTCCAATATGTTAGCCACTAGCTATGTGTGGCAGCCGAGCCCGTGGAATTCGGCTAGCCCACAGTGAGATGGGCTACAAGTGTAGAACACACACTTGATTTCCAAGACTTAGTCCAAAAAAGAAGGTAAAACATCTCACCAGCTTTTTAATCAATTACATGTTGAAATGATAATGAGTTAAATCAGATACGTTATTAAAACTGATCTCCCTGTTTCAGTTTTCTAAAATGTGGCTACTGAAAATTTCCAATTACGTGGAGGGCTCAAATTTATATTCTACACTCAGATTTCTGTCTGGACAGAGTCTCATCGGATCCTTAGAATAATCCTAATGAGATATGGCTCCCAGGTTTCCGATGAGGGAATTGATGCTCAAGGTTAGGTCACCTGCCTAAGGTCACTTAGTGTGGAAAGGCAGGACAAGAAGGCAAATGCCAAAGGTCTTCTTGCCCGAGTAACTGAGTTGATCTGGGCAGGTCCCCCCGATTCTTCTAAATTCTAAGCCCAGAGCACAAGTGACCTCCCAATGTCCAGGCAGAGTTCCCCAAGAGGGGAGCGAGTAGATGGGAAGTGTTTATGCTTCTTGAATATTCTTTCCCACCTCTACCAAGTAGTGGCTGCCCCGCCTCTGTTTCAACCACCACCAGGGATGGGGGAGGTCTCACATTTTGAACATAGAGAAAAACTTGGCTCTTGTTCAAAACCATCTGCTGGCAAGCCCACGAATGGGGCTGTAGCCTACCAGAGCCCCTAGCCCGTGCAGCCTTTCCTAACCTGCAGTGAGCTCCTCAGGGTACTGCCCGGGCTGGCCAAGGCAGCCAGGACGGCTGTGGTGGTGGTGCCGATGTTGGAGCCCAGCGTGAGCGGATATGCCCTCTCGATGCTGATCACACCAATACCTGGCAGGAAAACACAGAAACCAGAATATCAGCCCCAGGGGATGATGGGAGATGGTAGTGGCAACAAGAAGGGGAAGCGAGGGAGAAACTCACCAATCAGCGGGGTCATAGCGGATGTGAACACGGAGCTGCTCTGCACGATGAAGGTCATGCCTGCCCCCACAAGGATGGCCAGGTAGCCAGTCAGCCAGGCAAAGGGAAAGGGAAAATCTAGGAGACAGAAGGAAAAGAGATTTGTCACAGGTCTTCTAAGGAAGGCCTGGGTTGGGGGCCCGGCTGGGACTTCCAGAGGACCTGGAGGGGGGGGCATGGGCTGGGCTAGAGGGTCAGGTCAGCAGCCTCCCCACCCCACGCCATGGTCGGAAATTGCAAATCAGATTTTTAGAATCTTTTCACCTCGCACATTCGGATGGTGGAGCCAAGAAAGTGCGTGTGTGTTATGAAGACAAACACACACATCCACTGAGGTTCAGAAGTAGAAATGCTAAACCCACATGTCATGGGCTGAATGTTTCCCCAAAATTCGTATGTTGAAACACTAACCCCCAGTGTGATTGTATTAGGAAGTGGAGCCTTTGGGAGGTAATTAGTTCATGTGGGTGGAATCCTCATGAATGGATTAGCACTCTTATGGAACAGAGATCTTGCTTCCTCTCTACTCATTCCATGGGAGGATACAGTGAGGAGGTGGCCATCTATAAATCACGAAGTGGGACCTCACCAGAACCTGACCATGCTGGCACCCCAAGGCCAGACTTCCCAGCCCCCAGGACTGTGAGAAATACATTTCTGTTGTTCAAGCTACCTAGCCTAGGATAATTTGTTATAGCAGCAGAACTAAGACACCACCCAAATAACCACCTTCCTCCCACAGAGCACTTGGGAGCACTGGGGCCTCTGTCCTTCTGCCTGGCCTGGCCTCCCAATGCTGTGGATCCTCCACCTTTGTGAAGGAGCATGGAGGCAGGGCAGCAGCTCGGAAGTCGCACACAATGAGCTCTTGGTACCACCCATATGGGATTAGGCCCTGCATACCCAGCAGGTGCCCAGAGTCACCCAGCTCAGCCACGTGGCAACCTTGGGACAACCCTGGGAGGCAGATATTTTTGGCCCCATTTCACTGAAGTTTCATGGGGAGGGATGTCCTTGGCTTGGCACACTCTCATTGGCCAGGATGCCATACTCATCAGGAGCTTCTCCTGGCCAGTGGGGTTGCATTGGCTGCCTCAAGATGCTGACATATTATCCGGAACCATGTTTTCTTCCCAAGAGTTGAAGGGAAGTGGGGAGCAGTGTGGGCATCCATTACCCTTTTTCTAAGGGATCCTGACAGACCTGAAAGTCCTGGGTATAGGAAAACCTGCCAGAAGGAAGGCCTATCTCACAGATCTCTAGATTTCAGCTGGCTCTTCCTCAGGACCTTGCAAATGTGACAGAAGCTTGTGCCTACTTCCCCAGACTCCACCCAAGACACCAAGGATGATTTCAAGGGCAAATGGCATCTTAACTTCTTCAGCTTATCAGATCCAAAAGAGAAACTCCATGCAGAGGCCACTGCTAGATAAAAATCTAAAGGAGCCCCCCCCCCCGGCCCCCAGCCGCCCCTGGAGTGGCCACAGTGATGCCATGCCCTAGAAAGCCCAGAATTGACAGGGGAGGGGGGTCAGGGTGCCTACCCGTGTTGAGAGTCTTCTTGATGACAACAGCTACCTGTCCCCGGAGCACGGAGCCTAGGAGCTTGACGATCATGATCAGGCAGCCACAGAGGACCAGCAGGGAGACTAAGAGCAGGATGATGCCAACAACAAGATCCGGGAGGCTGGAATTCACAAAGATGTGCTGGCCTGAAAAGACCACGGAAAGCCCTTGTTAGGAGGGCCGTGGCTCCCCCCCTCCCCCGCCAAGGCCATAGGTTGTTACTCATTCACCAACATCTTTCTGTATGACAGTAACACAATCTTGGTTGTTAGCTTGACCTATGCAACCCAGAATAAAGACCACACTTCCCAGCCTCCCTTTGCAGTTAAGGGTGATCCTGAGGCTCTGTTCTAGCCAGTGGGACCTCATGAGGCTAGAACATGAAGTGAAATCCTTGCAGTCACAGAGCTAGTTGGGGGCTTTCTTCTACCTCTAAATCCCATGGTGTATTTTACTCATGAAACCAAGGATACTTACAACGAAGAGTCTGAGCAGCAATGGTAGGATGGGCCAGTCAGAGTAGGAGCTATTGCTAACTGTAAAACTCCTGATTTTTTAGAAGTCCTGTGTGGCCCCACAATTATATAGTTTTACTGATGGATGGATAGTGCCGCCAAGAACATGGGAGGTCATAAGACTCATGGATGCTGTGAGGTAAACCACACTTGGAACATTTACTGCTCAGAATGAATGTGGGTGGTGTGGAGAGGAGGAAGAGAAGCAGATACACACATGGGTATATAAGGAATGATTAGAAGAGTTAAAGATGTCTAGGCCAAGATTCCTAGGGCAACAGTCTAGCTTCTTCAAGAGTTGGAGCATCATGTAGGCTCACTGCCTTGATCAGTGCTATGGCTCCAGGGTCTTGAATGGGGCCTGCTGTATAGCAGGGACTCATGACTTCAGGGTGAATGTATCTGTTCTGTTCTGTGTGGGCCCCACATCTCCTGCAAATCTGGCTGGTGTATCCCTAGAGCCCAAGGGATACCAAAGCATATGGAGGGAGCACTCAGTGGAATCTATTGATGAGTTCTGGTGCATTACGGAACCACCAGAGAAACCGGGCTTCAAGTCCTAGTTCCGACCCTCACTGTGGGAACTCGGACCTGTCCCTGAGCCTTAGTTTTCGCTGCTATGAAAGTGCATAGTTCATGACTTGGTATAATGCTGGTGCTCAGTGAATCCTTAGTGCGTTGCTTTCCTTCACTTAATGGGCTTCACACAGATAAAGAACACCATCAGCGCCCCCCAGACGGCCCATCCCCGTGGCTGACGCTCTGCTGAGTTCCACTCACACTTGGCAATGTTCTCCTTGGAGGTCACGTTCTTGATAGTCCAGGTGTACAAACCATCCGACCAACAAAGGGAAGGCGAGGTACAGTTCTCAGGCGAAGGGACAGTGACATTCATTTGAGTCTGGATGACAAACATTGAGAAATGGGATGTATAGTCCACAATACTCACTTTTGGTGGGGACTGGCAGGCTATGTGGCAAGTAGGAGAGAGACACACATCAATGTGTGAGTCTGTACGTGTGATGCACTGTTTCCACAGGTCCTTCCATAAATGGGAACACAGGTGGCCATGGGAGACATGAAAATAACAAGCCAGGAATAATGTATCCACAGTGCCGGGTGGGGCAAAGTGGGTTGGGTATACTGCATTGTCTGTCCATCCAGCATTCAAAGACTTGTTTCCTTAAGGATTCTCATGGGCCAATTTTTACTTCCTCTTACTTCTCATTTGCCCACATTGAATTAAAAGTTTTGCTTAAAGCACAGATGCAAGAGTTTGCCCACCCAGCAACATTCTTAGAAACATACCACGTTGGTAGAAGTTTTGCACCAAAACTTGATCAGACTCTTGTTTTTGGCGGCTTCATCATTCATTGCGATTTCATTGATAACTTTCTTATCCAGCTAAGGAAGACAGACAGAGAATCAACACATCCCCAGCACTGAGGAGGGACAGGCACATAGGAAGTTCTGTTAAAAGGGGCTTCAACAACATAAGCCCGACTGAGATCCCCTGCAGGAGTGAGTCAGGACTCACTCCATTGGCACCCCAGGATGGAACACCACACCTGGACGTTAGCAGGTGCTTAACAAAGAAATGAATGATCCTCTAAACAATGGGCTGGTAGCTAGGAGCACACAGTAGATGGTCATTGGATGACAGCAAACCCAGAAGGTAGGGGTGATAAGGGGCAAGGTCTCAGCTGACCTGCTTTCCAAGGTAACAACCACAAAACCTTTTAAAATTTATTTCAATAATATTTCAATGACCCTAGGGAGCAGAGGGGTGAGATGGAAGGGAAGGACAGCAACCTTCCTCCTTGGCTAGGAGCAGGATAATGCTTTATCCGTGAGCCCACGGGTGCCGAGGTCAGTAGGGGCAATAAAATGGCCCCAAGCATCCAATGGAGTCTGAGTCTTGAGAAGCACTTGTCACCGCCTGCTCCCACCCCAATAAAGATGACTCTTGTTGAAGTCAAGAAAACCAAAAAGGCCAGTTCCACTACCCGGTGCCCCAAAGTCTTGCCTCCCCATGGCCTTTTTGAGAGGCAACCAAAGAGCAGCGATTATTGACCCTCATTCTTCTCCACCATCTCTGCCCAGTTGGGAGGGGTAGGGGGTGGCGGGGGTGGGGAGGGGAGGAGTTAGTTCCTTCCTTTCCCTCTCTGAAGGAGGCTGGGTTACCTGGATTATGAGCTTCGTTAAGGGGTCTGTGATGACTTTCAGAAGTGCTGGGGCATCCTCCCCATTCCTGAAGTTAAAGGTCTCCACCACCAGGTCTGTCAGGATCTCCAGGTAATGGGTGGCTGCCTCCAGGGGCAAGAGCACCAATACTGAGAGCCAGTTGAAAAAGTCATGGACAGTAGCTCCTGCAAAAGCCCTATAAGAATCCCACCCCAAGCCAACAGTCGGATTAGTGAACAAGCAAGTGGGCACCAGTCTAGGCAGGTCATGGATGACATTGTCTGCCGGGGGGTGGGGGGGCCGCCTATCTATGTCCCATTCACATTCTCACAGCAATCCCCACATGGGCGGTATCAATATCCCCATTTGGCAGATGAGGAAACTGAGGGCCAGCAAGCATAGGGGAATAGAAGACCACTGCCTGGGTCCTGGGTCCAGGACCCTTGGTTTCCCACTGCCCAGCAGAGCCCTTGCCACCAAGCTAGACAGCACTCAGTTCTTTCTGTGGGGGAAAGGGAAGTAGACAGGTTATGGCTGCGATAATGAGCTCAGTGGCCACCGTTTGGAAGTGCTGCATCAAGACCACTTCTGAATCACACCCACTGAAGACAGTCTTCCTGGGGAAAGATGGGGGCCAGAAGTATGATGGTAACCAAAGCCCTCAACTGTGTTCTTAACTTTGTTAAGCTCTTGAGACTCTGGATGAAACGTTTGAATGGCCTGCACAGGAAATAAGGCCAATATACACCACAATTTAGATCTGAGAAGGTTCGTCCGTTCCCCTGAATTCCATCCTATCTCCAGACTGAGAAATGAGATTTTTTTTTTTCCTCAAAAAAAAAAAGTTTCCTTTAAAAAACATCTGCATGTTGGGGTGCTGGGTGGCTCAGTCGGTTAAACATCTGCCTTCGGCTCAGGTCATGATCCCAGAGTCCTGGGCTCAGATCAAGCCCCATGAATGGGACCTCTGGGATTGGATGAGAGCCGACGGATCTGAGCAGGGAGGCTGCTTCTCCCTCTCCCTCTGCCCTTCCCCCGCCCCACACACACACTTGTGCCCCCTCTCTCCCCCCGCCCCACACACACACTTGTGCCCCCTCTCTCTCTAAAATAAATAAAATCTTTTTTAAAAAACAAACACATCTGCATGTGCAAAAAAACACCCAAAACCAAAAAAGGACATGAACAGACAGAAGCTAATAAACCTGTGCGGGAAATGCTTAACTTCACTAGTAGTAAAATTTATTTACAATTTATTTACTTGTAAGTGCAAATCTTTACGTACCATATCAGCTAATATTTTTTAAAGTAACTTATTCTTCCTAGAAAAGGTGATTTCATAAAGTGATATAAAGTGATGTAAATGTTTCTTAGTAGTTTGGCAAAATGTTTTAAGAGCCTTATAGGTGTCAGATATCATCATTATTTTTCCGGAAACCTACGGAGGTATTCTAAGCCACCCGGAAAGAATGATGCACATCTCCAAAGATGTTACTGAAAGCAATCTATTTAAATAAAACAAACAAGGGGTGGGCTAGTTCAATTATATTCCTATGTGCAGGCACTTTCATAGATCATGTTTATATCTGGCAAGTTTATATTTCATATGTGGCGGTGAAAAGAGCCCGAAATCTGGAAGAAAACCCAGATTTAGTCCCAGCCATGCCCCTTAGGGAAGTTATTTAACCTCTTTGTGTTTCTGTATTAATGAAATGGGGCAAAGAAAAGTCTACTCAGCTTCTTGAGAAGATCAAATTAATAACCCCCCTGGATAATGTTGTATCATTATTGCGGCCCTCAGGACATTTCATCAGGGACCAAAGAAGGTTAGCCGTGTCTGAGCAGAAATGAGCAACTCTGAGGACCTCTGCCACCTGCCAGTTCACCAACGGAAGAGGGATGGCATTTGCTGACCACCCAGAGAGCCTGCATAATGCTGTCTGCCCGACCCGTGGGGTGACTGCATCACGTAGACAAACTGCTTCTCTGTTTTAAGAACTTCTGGAAAAAGCCCATCAGTTAGAAGGGAGGCTGAGAATGTGCTTCATTTTCCCATTAACCTTTTGGAAGGAAAGAGTTCCCTTTGCCTGTTTCAACCCGCCCCATTTTCAGATCTTCTGCATCCACAAAAACTATATTTTGCCTTTTATTGGCATGCAAGTGAAGAACAAAGAGGAGGTGGCAGGGGTTGAGCTCAGCCAAAGAGGAAGCTTTAGGAGGTTATAATTATTTCTGACTAAGTGGGATAGTAAATCCTATCCCAACTGGCCTTGTTTTAACTACACCAACATGGCAGGGAAGCTTCTAGCTAGGGCTTGCATTTAGGGAGCTCTGATTGCCTGCCAAGTACCTTGCTAAGCATTTACCTGTAGGATTGGTTTTAGTCCTATGGACAATAGTGATGACGGCCAATGGTCCTGGCTATGCAGACCAGGGAGCTGAGTTTCATCAGCTGGTAAGTATGTGATCCCAACCCCCACCTGTACTCCACTATGGCTACTTCTAAGAGCTCTAGGAATGACCAACATGTTCTCATTGGCTAGTTAAAAGTAGTTATGGCAACCTGGCCCAAATTGATGAGCCTCATGGCGGGGAAAGGCTGATTCTGAGCCTCCTACCTTCTGAACTCATTCCGGTCTCCCGCCTGCATGAGCGCCACAATGGTGTTGGTGATTGAGGTCCCAATGTTGGCCCCCATGATAATGGGGATGGCAGCACGTACACTCAGCACTAGAGGGCAGAAGAGAGAAAGTGGGTTAGCAAGCAAGCTTAGGAAGGCAGCCTGGCCATGGTCCCGATGTGGCCAGACTGACCTCAGTCAAGCTGGTAATTGCCAAAGCAGCCTTTCCTAACCATTCTGGGGTCAGCACCAGGCTATGAATCTGATGCAAGCTAGGACAGCTCATCACAGAAATATGCATGTGTACCAAAAAAAAATTTCTGGCACATAATTTCAGGGACTCCACAGACTCCATGAAGAAGTCCTTCTGTGAACCCCAGTTTACAAGTGCCTTTCTAAATTTCTCTGTCCTCCCTATTACAGATGCAAGGCCAGCTTATGGGAAAACAGGAAACAATGTTTAAGGACTTGTGTATTTATCATGGCAAATTTATTTTTCTAACACAATTAGTACACTGTCACAATGTTCTAACATATGAAAGTAAAGTTTTTTTTAATATTTTATTTTATTTAAAGATAGAGAACATGAGTGGGGGGAGGAGCAGAAGGAGAGGGACAAGCAGACTCCGCACTGAGCATGGAGCCCGACACGGGACTCGATCCCACTACCCTGAGATCGAGATCATGACCTGAGCCAAAATCAAGAGTCAGACATTTAATTGACTGAGTCACCCAGGTGCCCTGAAAGGAAAATTTTGAAGAATACCTTTTTCTAATTTAGCCCAGAAAAGATCTAGTTAATTTTGCTAAAAACAGCTGGTTTGAGCTGAAAATTAACCTGTTTAAATTGCACCCCCCCCCACCCCGAGTATCTGTCCCAACTTAGCCAGAGCAAACTATCAGCAGGTTCAAGTTCGGAATGCCAGCTTCCCAAGCTCAGTTGTCCCCAAGCCAGTGCGTGATGGGATTACACGCCTTTATTCTTAGCACTGAGCAGTGATGGAAATGTTCCTCATCTACATGGCCCAATATGGCAGCCACTGGCCCCAAGTGACTATCGCTCCCCCAAAATATAGTTAGTGCAACCCGGCAACTAATTTTTATCTTTTAAATTAAAATAAATTGAGGTTAAACAAAATTAAATAGCCATATGTGGCTAGTGGCTGCTGGACTGGACAATACAGTTCCAGAGAATTCAGAGCTGAGTCTTCAAGCCTTGGGGACTATTTTCAGACCCAGCCACGGGGATGGAAACAGGAGGCTGCCCGGGACGAGGCAGGACACGTCACAGTTGCTCAAGATAGGAAGACACCGGTGACCAGCCTGGACATATTCAGAGTAAATCCCAGGCTCCCCAGCTGGACAGGGAAAATGCCCGGAATGTGTCTGGGCCCAGAGGTGCCTGGACTCACGTGAGGAGGCCACCATGCTGACGACGATGGACGAGGAGGTACTGGAGCTCTGTACCAGGACAGTCACCAGCACTCCAATCACCAGACCCGCCACGGGGTTGGACATAATAGAGTTGTTGCTGAAGAACTGTCCGGCCACCTTTCCTGAAAAAAGCAAGGGCACGGCCACAAGAATGTTAGGTGGACACTGGATACACTGGTAGTCTCTAGACGCAGTCAGCTGGCTGAGGGGGAAAGGCGAGGCCAGCCTCCAGCCCAGCTGGTACCTATGGAATCTTACTTCCATGGGCTTTTTCCTAGCGCTGCCCTGGCACCATGTCTCCGCTTCTGTGAGCTAGCTCCCCACGTACCCCCACCATCTCGTGTTCCTCGTCCCTTCTCCCTGTAGCCTCCCATACTTCTGTCATTCCTTCCCACAGCAAGCCCTCCTCTAGCCTTCTCTGGTCACCAACCTGGCCTCAACTCTACTTGGCCCAGTGGGTGTCAAGTGAGTCTCCTGATGCCCTAAGTCCTGTCTCTGGGATGAATTCCCCATTCATAAGATTTACCCCTCAGGAATGGATGGGTGTTCTTCTTCTCTGTCCACCTTACCCAACCCCCATTCTCCAGCCCCAGCCTAACCTCAGATGCCCCAAGACCACCAGTCCATTCCCCAACCCATCTATTGAAGACTGAGGCCCAGAGGGTGGAGGCCACTTGTCAGGTACTCAGAGACTGAAAGCCCTTGCTGATGCTACCTTGGACCGGGGGGGGACTGGGAGTGGCATCCAGGAGGTCGGTCTGCCCCTCATTCACCCCCACAAGTGCCCCCTCCCTCTCCCCATTCTCCCAGGTCACAAAGATGAGTTCTCAAGAAAGGCACCAAGGGGTATAAAGATCGACTGTCCTCTGTGTCACCGGGATCTGAGTTTGGATCCCACTACACCAGCTCTAGGCTATGAAACAAAGGGCTGGGCAGCATGACCTCTTTCAGCCTCCGGATGCTCCTCATAAATGGGAAGAACTTTGGGAAGGAATGTGTAGGACGCCAGGAGGTATTCAAAGTGCTGGCTATCAATGTCGTCACCCATCAGGGGAACACAGGTGACCAAGCAGCCCCCCCTCACACTGCATAGCCACATTCAGTCCCGGAAGATGTTTAGAAACTGCTAAGGATGCAGATCCACCAACTCTGGGATGCTTGTCCTTCTCTAGCTAAGGCCCAGCCCTGATTTTCCACAATTGCTTTAGCTTAGAGAGCGCTCCTAGCTAATAATCTCTTCAAGTGGGAGGCCCAAGACAGCAGGGATCCCCAAGATCAGTCCTTCTGTCAGACAGCTTCCTGTCCAGGGTTGGTGGACAAACACAGGAAGCCGACAGCTTGGAACGGGCTCCAGCCCTGGCTGCTGGCCTAAGCTACCTCAGCCGGTCACAGCCCCTTTAGAGACCTCAGTTTTCTCTTCTACAAAATAGAGGCATGACTTCACAAGACGTGAGGTGACTTCTCATCCTAAAACAGGCTGAGAGGCTGCAACTGGAGAGGGCTTGATGACTTGTGACTATTTGAACCGAATACCACGAAAATCCCCCCACCCCAGGTCTTTGTCCCTTTCATCCATACCTCCAACCAGCTGGAAGGCGCTGCTGAGGACATCCAAGGAGCACACAAAGAAGTAGAGAAACCCCAGAAGCAAAATAAATTTCCCAATTCCTTGGAAGACATAGAGAATCTTCCCTTTGGTGTCTCTCTCTGGGGTAGGGGAAAAGGGAGGAAGGCTGTTACGGCCTGAAACTCACAAGATTGGCAATGAGCTCAGAGCTCCCCCTGCTCCCCTCCCTCACGCCCCCAGGTCGGGCTACACAAGGCCTAGAGACGGGATGCATCCATGACTGCAGTTTTCAAAGCAATTACCACTGTAGTCCATTTAGTTGAAGCCTGTGGTAAAGTCTCTATAAAGGATTAGCTCTGGGGAGGAGGGGTTCGGTGGGGTCTGGGGCACTGACAAGCAAACCAGAGTCCATGCTCAGCTGCACCAGTGTTGCTGAGTGAGGCAGTTAAGGGCACTTGGCACCTGCTAAGTGTGGGGTCAGAGATAATGGCTCTCCTAAGCACCTTCAGAACAGCACAGAATACTTTCTAGAACGTGGCCGCAAGGTAGCAATCACGGCCTCCATTTGGAAGAGGGCTTGGGCGCTCACACATCCTGGAATGCTATGTCCTTGTATGCTATTTTCTCTGCTCACTCTTTACAGTGGTTCTCACCTCCTCCCTCCCAGCTGTCTTGATCTGCAGACAGACCCTACACCCTGCACCCGGAAAAGAAATGCAGCATTTGCTTGCACGCCAGCCATGCTGGCTATATATTCTATCTTCTGGAAGCCTTCCTCGATGCCCACGTTTAGGTGGGGACACCCCCCTGTCCCCCATCCAGGAGCTTGCAGAGCAGGGACCTCGACTGTTCAGCGCTGTATCCAGAGCACAGCTCCCGGGACCCAGTCGGCCCACAGTGGGTTACAAGGAGCACCGCAGTGCCTGGCCTGGTTGGCACTCCAATGCTGGCACATTTACTGGGTGAAGGAGAACAAGAGGTCCCCCAGTTCTCACACTGTGCTTGGCCTCGACGCCTCCAAGCCTGCCAGGAGGTATCCCTTGCCAGGACCTTTGTTTGAAGGGCATCAGAGCAATGACAAGAGGACAACACAAGGGAGATGATACTGTGGAGACCGTGAGCCCAACCCCTCACTGATGGGGGTCCCCCTCCCCACTTTTACCTGACCACTTGATCCCGGTGTCCTGAAGCTCAGGCAGGTCCCAGGGGTCTGCCACCTCGGTGGGCTCCTCTATCAGTGCCACGGTGGAATAGGATGGCAGAAGTTCGATCTTGGTCACAGGTGTCCCGGTGTCATCTACCCAAACAAGCAACAGAGGCCATGAGGAATACGGGTCAGACCTGGGTCTCGCAGCGTCCTCACAGGAGGCCAGGCTGGGGCAAGACGAACAGCACTTACTTTTGTTGGTCTCCTTGCCTTTCCCAGGTGTGGTGGACTGCTGACTACTGGCCCCTTCCACGTATTTACTGGGGTTGGGCTGGGCATTTTCCAGCTCGGGCCAAGGAGCCATGGTCTGTGGACGGAAAACAGAGCTTAAAGAAGCAGCCACTCAAAGGCGTCACACTCAGGTGCTACTACAGAAAGAAACCAGAGGCCACAGACATTCGGGAGAGATGAAGGGTGTTGTGCTTACATACCTTCCAAGTGTGGGATCTTGAGTGCCATATTTCCACCACTGGGTCTCCCTCAACTGCTCGCCTCGGCTGTCACTACATCAAACCACGTCGTACAGTGTTTCTCCATTCTAGCCTCAAGTCAGCTGAACTTGCTTTGGTTTCTCTCACTTCTTTCTCTCAGCCTCTGTCTTGACTCTCCTTTAGTCAGCAAGGGGATGCGAACCTATCCATTTTCATCAACTCACGGAACACCAAGCTCAAGCCCTCCGATGGGTTCCCCCATCTGCTTTCTATTTCTAGGCTAAAGATCTGCATCGAACCTCATCCAGTGGACTTCACATACTTGTAGATGCTCATACGTTCTACCTGCTTTGCCTACCACCCTGTCTTCTGTGAGCAGCGCTGACACACTGGAGCTGGTTCGAATCCCAGTGGTGCCACTTACCAGTGGGTGTATGTTTAGGAATGTCCTTTTACATCTCTGAGCATAAAGGCATAAATGTCTCCCCATCTATAAAATGTGCATAGTTCTTCATACTTTGCAGGGTTATGAAATTAATGGCGATACCTAGAAAGTGCCTGGCACCAAGCAGGCAATTAGGACTATGCCATGCAGCCTGGATTAATGACCCTTTGTCAGAACCACATTCCTTCTAACCTTTGCCTCCTCATAACCCATTTTCTCAACAAAGCCTTTCTTGCTTACATGGACAGGAAGTGTGGCTCTTGACATACTTGGAAGTCCACTCCTTGTGGTCCTTGTCCTTTGACACACGTTAGACAGGTGCAGGACAAAAGGACTGGGGCAGACAATTCACAGAAGAGGAAGTACAGGTGGCTAAAACACAAAATAAGAATCTTGGCCCCACTAACAACCCACAATATGCAAAAGAGAACAGGGAGATAAGTTTCGAAAAATCAAATCAGCAGAGAATTATTTTTTAGGTATAATATGCTATGCTGGAGGAGATGCAGTGAGATAAGCACCACTATAGAGTGCTTTATTTTTTAAAAGACATCTCTGACCTAGTCATTGCACTTCTAGGAATTAAGAATCTGGGAATATTTTCTCCCAGAAAATCCAAAATACCTCCCTGTTCTGATCACTTCTTTGAAAAGATGGTCCCAGAATCTGGGTCTAACTCCTTTCCCATTTTTCTTAAATGGATCTACTTCCTGCCTACCAAAATGTAAGCTCTACCCTCCAAAAAGAGGCTCTGTCTAGTTCATCACTGCATCCTGAGGGTCTGCAGCTCTGCCTGGCACATTGGCAGATGCCCAATAAATGGGGGTTGAATGAATGAATGGGATGCTGACTGAAAAGACGTTGCCGCACTGTCAAAGAGATGAAAAGTAAAAATAGGGAAATTGTAGTATTAACCATGGTACGTCCATGCAGTGTAATAGCATGCCATTGAAAAGGTGATAAAGAACCAGAAAAAAAAAACAAAAAAACGGGAAAATGCTTTAGCTACATTGAAAAGCTACTTCTTTGTCCCACTCACAGCATGTTCTCATAGGATCTGGGAATGCTGCATGGGATTCAGAGTGGGTGATGGGATTGTGGGTGACTTATTTTTCTTCTGTATGAAATTTCCAAATTCTTTTAAGAGATGCAGCCCAACCCCAGACCCACAAAGTACGATGGTTCGGAGACACCCGTGCTGGCCTGGTTATTCGTACTGATAAAGCCAGGACTTAAGCTGATTCTGGGTGTCCCCATCATGAAGGGGTTTCATCAACTTGTTTAGGCTAAGGAATTTCGACTTCCCCATGAACTGCAGGGCATGACACGCTCTTCCACAATCACAGGGGAGGAACGTCTTGCAGGCACTGGCTTGCCTTTCATTTCAACTTAACAAGCATCCAACACAGGGCCTGGCACACAATAGGCCTCACGTGCTTTCCGAATAGGACGCTGAGACCTGCCTGGCCAGCGAGAGAGCCAGTGTTCACTGAGCTGGGCTGTGCTCGACCTCGCAGCTACCCATTCAGGGAGTTACTATTCTCCCATTACACAGATGACGAAACTGGGGCACAAGTAACTTGCCCAAGGCCCCAAGGTGTAGAGCTGTGAACCCCGGTCAGTTTGAATCCTGAGCCTTTTCTGACAGACGCTCTTGGGCTGGGTGTTCTCTGCATGGCATTCGATTGGTTTCTAGGAGCAGGGCTGCTTCTGATGTCTGGCCTTCTGGAGTTGCTGTGCCTGCCACAGGTTCGACTCCTCCCTCAGGCTCAATGAAGAGCCTTCTTGTAGCTGACAGTCAAAGGTGGGGCAAAGCCTGCTGTTCTCAAGACCTGCTGGACCCGGGGTGGGGCGGGGCTCCCTGGGGTGTGTTGGGAGGCAGCTACAAGGCTGGAGCCCAGGCAGGGGAGGTGGGGTGGAGCTGGGTGGTTGGGGAGGAGACCAAGGTTGGCCTGAGAGAGCTCTAAGCTCTAAGCTCAGCTTAAGGCCGGCCACTCTGCAGGTGAACTGGTTTGAAACAGCACAGAGATAAGAAAAGACAGAGCCAGGCTCCCATGCTTCAGGAAGCAAAGTCACCTCTGTGACTCTCCCAACACAGGGATCCTTAGCTCCAATGTTTTGGGGAAAGAAACAATCTTAGAGCTCTTCATTTCAGTCAGGCGCTAGGCTGGGTACTTTACATAGCACAGAGGTTCAGAATCATACTCCAGCTCTGCCCCAGATACACTGTGACCCGAGACAGTCACTTGACTGGCTCCGTGCCTCAGTTTCCCCTCTGCAGCATGGGGCTTATAACAGTCCATAATCCATTGGGTTATTAGGCAGCTTCAGTGAGTTCATCTCTGCAAGGTGCTTGGGACAGTAACCTGTCCGATCAGTGGGTTCAGGTTCCTCCTCCCAGCAACCCTGAGAAGGGTTAGTGTTACTCCCATTTTATAGACGAGAAAACCAAAGCACTCAGAGGGATACAGCCACTTGGCCCAGGGCCACAGCACATCTGACTCCAGCCTCTCAGCTCCAGGCCTGGAACACTCCTGGAAGGGATGAGCCACGCAATAATGCCCTGTATCTGATGAAAGCCCCATTACTAGGCACGTGGGAAGATGCCTCTCAACACTGGGGCGGCAGAAGTCAGCGTCCCACTTCCGCATACAGAACCCAGGGAGGAAGCAAGAGCTCCGTGAACTCCTTCTCAAAGCACCTGCCACTCTAGCTTTTGGCACAAAAGCATTCCACCTGCAAACCTCAGCCTCCCGTCCCTTCGTCCCTTTGTTGCTGTCTGCAGGGCCCCTTCAAGCAGTCGGCACTTCCCCATCACCCCAGATGTTTCCCCCTCCATGGATCTTGGCTGTTTGCAATTCCTGCTATCAGCCTCCCAGAACTGCAAGCTCATCTCCGACGCCCCCGCGCGCACCCAGCCCGCACCAAGACCTGCTGACTGGAGCTGGGAGCATCGCGGCTTGTGATCTCCAGCTGCCTGCAGGTGCCACGTCCCCAGGCTGAGCCCCCAGCGCCTCCTGCCTCAACCAACACACGGCAGCCTGTTTAACTGGTTTGGGCCCCAGTGTCTCTCACCGGTTAACTTTCCTAACACCCAGCTGTGATTGTACGGACTCCCCATTTCTTTACTGCCCACTGCCCCCTAAATGATCCCCCTCCTTAGGTCACTGGCCTAAATTTGGGACACCGAATCCTCTCTGTAGGGTGTCACTCTCTGCTCTTGCCTAGGTAGGACCCCCCTTCAGAAGCCCCCCCATCTTTGTCCAAGCCCTCCCTCCGCCCCTGCCTGAGTCTTGCAGGCCTCTCTGATCATCCCTGTGTGCCAGGCAGGCAGCGCCTGTGTGATCATAGGGCTCTCCGCCACACACAGAATCATTGATTTCTAATAACTACCATTTAATGAGCACCAGCAAGGTGCCAGGTGCTGTGCTGGGCCTTGACACATTATCTCCTGCAATCTTTATGCAAGAAAGGGGGCATGCTCATCCGCACTTGCAAATAGGAAAACCTGGAGCACAAAAAAGGAGATTAAGCAACTTGTTCAAAGTCACCCGGCAGGGGAGTGACAGAGTTTTTAACCACGGCTCAACCTGTCAGTGAGGTTGGAGCCCTCATTTACAACATCCTTGGCCATGACATAAACCTATTTTCCTGGAGCGCTGATTTTACTCCCATAACCGGGGGACAGGGAGGTTGAACAGCGTGACTGGTGGATGATCTACACTGGAGATGTGGTATTTCCCCGTGGAGCACGTTCTCAGCCTCGGCACTACTGACATTTAGGGCTAGATGATGCTTTGCTTGTGCGAGTTTTCCTGTGCGTCGTAGGATATGCAGCCCCCCTGGCCTCTATTCAGGACATACCCCTCACCCTTAGTGTTGACAACCCAAAAGGTCTCCAGACATTGGCAAATGTCCCTTGGGGGCTGAGAGCAACCAGTCTAGAGGTTAAGAGACCAGACTTCAGACCCCCAACTGCCTGGTTTCAAGTCTCAGTGATGCCATTTGCTGTGTGACTTTGGGCTAGTTCCTTTGCTTCTCTGTTTCCCTGTATGTCAAATTAGGGTAAGATGACTGATGAAAGATTGTTATGCTTACGTGTGTTATGTATTAAATTAAAAGTTTTCGGAATGGTGTTTGACACGTTGTAAACCTTGTGTGGTTTTCAGCTATTACGGGAAAACAAGCAGGGACGTTATAGAGTGCAAGACTTCTGTGAATTCAAAATTTTAAAAAAGATAGGACACAAAGCATTGCTTTGAGCTTGCAAGGGACTACTTTGAACTACTCACAGACTTGCAAGGGGTTCCTGTATACTTGGCTTATTCTGCTCGAGGGTAGTTTGAAGGAAGAATTTGAAAATTATTGTGACCTTCTACGACCTCTCCCAGTGCTCAATAGACTACACATCGTAGGGCCCTTACATTT